CCCCTTTTCCGGCGGGTGCCTTACCTCCCTTGGGCTGGGCCAGCTGGTGGTCAGCCTGCTCCGTCTCTGCCGCTTGCCAGCTACGCCTCGGCCGGTGCATGGGGCGGAACCACGCATGCGTGGCGCTCCCAGGCAGGGAAAGTCCACGACTTACGACCGGTTGGGTAGTCCTCAACTTACAACCGGTTTAGTCCTCGACTTATGACCGGTTGGGGTCGCGGCATTAAAAAGGTTGAGAACCACTGTTCTAACCACTGCGCTGCCACGGCTCTTATAAACATGAACATCTCTTGGTGTGGGTCTTCAACCCATGTCTGAGACATCTGAAGTTATTTTTAGGTGAGATGTCTACTGGCCACAAAGATGGTGAGGGCATAACCCTTCCCTCCAGACCCCAAGCACTTTTCTGTACCACTATTCTCCTCCCTGCTCTTCCTTGTGGAAATTGTTGAGAGGGGGCTGGTTTTATTTATTTATTTATTTAATTTCTATGTCGCCCGTCTCATTCATGCAGTGGACTCTGGGCAGCTTTACGTTTTAAAAGGACTGCATTTTCTTACTTGTGAACACCGGTTTATTCCTATCTGCCTCAACAAGTCTGTTTGCTGTTCGGTGGACTTGGAAGTTGGAGAACAGACCCGTAATCTCCTGGTCTGCCAGGCACAGTAAACAAGGGAGGCAGGCCAAGGCATTTTTCTTATCCTGAAACCCCATCCCAATGCCAGCCTCCCATTCCTTGTTGTGACTGATGGATGGATTCCTTCTGACTTCAGCGAGTGGGAGGGCACCATAATCAGTGTGATTAAGCCACTACTTTGCTTAACATGCGTTGCACGCCCGAAATCAGGACACTATTATTTGTTGGCCAGCCAAAACAGAAATAATAACTGTGTGACAGAGATTGGCAAAGGAAATAGAAAATGTTATGCCAAGGTGGGGTTGTTGCTGTTGTTGCCGTTTGCCAACTCAAATTATAGCGAATAACGCTTTTATTCAGCAACGAGAGAAGTCTCTAAGTCTACTTACTCAATTATCAGTGCCAAAATGAAGGACAGGCAACTTAAGCTCACTTTTACTTCAGCCACATACAATCCATAATGAGTACTATTGAACTGCTGCATGCATGCCCCCCAAAACAGCAAAAGAGTTGTTTTAATCTGTGTTGTAAAAACAAACGGGTCACTCTTCTGGGGCAGGAATTCTCAGCCTCGTATTAAGAAAGATGAAGCAAAGCCAACCCAGAACAGAAGGAGTCTTCAGAGATCACACTCACTCAAAGTTGACCCTGGTCTCCAGCTTCACCTCCTGGTCCATCAGTACTAAACTGTCCTGATTCAATGCCAGCGGCTTCTGTGAAAAGCCAAAGAAATACAAAAATATTGATACAGTGCAAAGGAAGAACACTGGTGTAAGAATAGAAATGCTTGTTATGTATGATATGATTCTACGTTGCCCACAGACTAATACATTACAGCTAGTCCTTGACTTGGGTCATTTAACCACCATCTGAAGTCACAACTGTCCTGAAAAAAGTGACAACTGGTTCTTGCCCTTACAATTGTCACAGCATCCCTACAGTCACACGCTCAAAATGTGGTCACTTAACGATCAGCATGAACTGATGATGGCTGCAGTGACCCAGGCTCTCAAGATTGCCATTTATGACTTTCCCAACAAAACCAATGAGGGGAGCTGGATTCACTTAATGACCATGTGATTGATTTAACGGCCATGGCAAAAAAAGGTTGTAAAATCGTGGAAACTCAATAACTCCATTTCTTAGCAATGCACATTCTGGTCTCAACTGTGGTTATACGGTAAGTCTAAGGACTATTTGTATGAAACTATTAAGATCATCGATGCAATTCTAGAAAAATAGCTTTTCAAAAATCTGCAAATAATACTGGGGAGAGATTTTTAAAATTGTGGTAGGATAAAAATGTTTCTAAACAAAGAAACAGATAAACAGGAATATTTTGATACCAATATTCTTTGAAAACTGAAATTACTTGTTCATTTCACCTAAGATATGCATGTTCTATAATCATCTGTGAACTAAAAATTATTTGCCCAATATAAATATGCTTTGGAAAAAAATAATGTACAATCACGTTGGATATCTGAATTATATCTTTGGATATCTGGATAAATATATTTTTCTCTAGCCCTTTCAAAGAGGAAAAACAATAAAGTTGTATGCATTTAAAAGACACTGAAACTATATATCAATTTAAGCTTAGACAAAACCAAGATACTTCTTGAAATGAATTCAATTTCATTTGAACAATATTTATTTGTCTGGCTTGTTAACAATATATGTTACTTGAATAGATACTTAGAGAATATAACTACTATCTCTAGTTAAAAGGGACTCCAGTGACCTATCTTCATAAGCCAACCAGGCAATTAGAAGCTATATAGAACATAGAAATAGAAGTTATATAAAATATGTAGATTAAAATACCCTAGTACTCCCAACTGGCATGGCCAATGGTGAAGCATACTGGAAGTTGTAATGAACAATCTCTGAGGGCCAACATTCCTTAGCCCTATTGTACAAGACTAAGAAATAGAATTTCAGGGAAAGCTCAGCCAATAACAGTGAACTCTCAATCCAACAGGAAATTACCCCAATTTACACCCAAAGCCCAATTTCTGCTCAATTAAATTAGATAAAGTAAATAAATATTGCATTTGGAGATTACAAGTAAATTGGCTTAAAGTGAATTTGAAACCACAATATATTTTTTGTTTATAATTTCTGAATTCACAACTTTAATTATGATATATAATGAGAGAGATTACAAATGCTCCAATCTAAATTTTACCCAGAAAAATCCCTTTCTCTTAGTTTTCTAAAGTGCTGTTCTTCCCTTAATGTTTCCTTTTTGCCTAAAACAAATTGGACCTACCTTTTCACTTCCCATAAGGTAGATCTTTACATCAGGTAAATTGAGGCCACGACGCTGACAAACTCCAGCCAACATCTCCTGGATAGAGAGGCCAGAACGTACTGGGGCCAGAGATGCAGTCCCATCAGGCAGATAAATGCAACAATATTTAATGGGATGATTCTGACTGTCAGATTCTGAGCCAGTCAGACTCTTCCTGTGGTTCTGTAGAGAAGAGAACTTATCACATTCAGTTTCATTTACTAACCTACTACAATCTCAACCTGAAAGTTCAGTGTCCACAACAGACAATTACTTGAGGTCAAAGATCAGTAATATTGTATATCTATCAATGCATGCACTTATGGTAGGTGTGGGCTTGGTGAGGCTTTTATCCAAACCTGCAATTAAAAAAAAATACATATGCTTTTTTCCCCTTCCTGTACAGTTGGAAGACCTGAAAGACCAAGTTAGGGACAGATCATTGTGTGTTGGGGGGGAAATCTATCTATATGGTTGCTAAGAGTTGACAGTGATTTGATGGCACATACAGTAATGAATCAAAACTCTTCTCTCAATTGCTCTCTCTCTAGAGAGAGAATGAGATGATAGTAGGACTTCGGGTCACAATTAAGATGCAAATTTTAAAGAAAATTCCTTTATGGATTTTTGGTTTATGATTTGAAGCAACACAGTGAAGAAAACTTGCATATCAAGAAGAAAATATAGTATTATAGAAAGCCTGATGTATTAAAAAAAGTCCAGATATTCCCACTTTACACAGTGACCAATAACACTGCTTGAAGGAACTCAATAAGCACAAACTATTTCCTATTATTCCTCATCAATGATAACTACTGAAAACAATATGGAGAGCACTTGTACCAGCCAGCATATATATATTCCTTTATAAAACCATGGAAGCCAGCAGCTGGCACTGAATCGTGAGACAGTGAATCTCGTGGTAATTACACTTTATGCAAATATGTACATTTTCCCGTTTTGAGAACAGAATTGAAATGCTCCTTTCTTCCCACCGGCAGTTTGAATTAATTCAGCCAGAATTCTCCCAACTCAATCTACTGCGTCACTTGCTGTAAAACCATAGAACTGTCTGCTAATCTATTTATTAGACAGTGGGAAGCATTTGCTTTCAGCTTCAAGAGCTGTACCTCTCTGAGGGCAAGCCTATTACGATCAGCTACCATGGTAGATGGGGACGTGAATAGAATGTTTAATTCTTTATTTGCATGGTAGGCATACCTCGAAAAAAATAACCACCTACAAGGGCAAGTTTTGGGGGGTTTTTTGCTCCCAAAGATAATTTATTTGGAAAAGACTTTGACAATACTGTATAAGACTCTACCTGGCATCTCTGGCCATTCCAGAGACAGTTTTGGACTTGTCTCACTACATAAAATTAATATGCTTGGAAAACAAAATTAGCATCTTTCTTGTTTGTGCTTTTTTTTTGAAACTGGAACAAAGCTAGAACTTAACATTCTTTTTCCTTCTCAAATTACAGTACATGGGAAGCCTTTTTTTTCCTGCCATTTCTCCTGGGGCTTGGGGAAGAAACAGAGTAAGCAAGTAGCAAAGAAATCACTGGCAAAAGCAGGAGTTGCAGCCATAGAACTGCCTCTTTAACTTGCCCCATGGGGGCGGGGGGGTAGGAAACAAACGGTGTGAATGGGTGACAGAATAAGTTGCTAATAATGATGGAATGGGACCCTGGGGCAGGAATACAGGTAGCACCTGACAAATATTTTCCTGCCCGGTCTCATACCTTTTGCCATCTGGCACTGTGACTGTGACAGCTCTACCGCTGCTTCAGTCTTCTTCTTTGCCTGTCTGGAGCATGCATGGCTTTGTAGATGGCTGCATGGCCATGATAACTGCAGAAGCATTCCGGCCCAGGTTGACCCAATTCCTATCACTGCTCCCATCCCCCTTCATTCATTGCAACCTTGACTGTAAAAAATGGGGAGCCTATCATTTCATTTGGGAGGCAGGGAAGCCAGGAGCATTTCCCCTCATAATTGGAGCACAGAATTTTGGGCAGCTGACCAGGATACACAAACCATGTTCTAGAAACATGGGAGGCTGTACTGTAGGTGTGTCTGTGTATGTCTGTGTGTACATGCACAACGGAATTTGATTACGGGAAAAGCAACAATAGCTCAGGGCAGAGTATTGACTGAACGATGACCCATACAGTATGCAATCTCCTAATAGTCAACTGGAAGGAACACTGGCTGATTTATGGTGATCTCACTGTCCCCCTCAGCATTTCAAGATTAGCGATCAATGGCCATCTTCCCAATGATGTGGATAGATTTGGTTTGGAAACAGAGTGGGAAGATGCTGTGTCAAAGAGCACAAAGTGGTTTACAATACATCATCCAGCTGGGTGGTTCTAGATTTGTGCTAGGAGTATTCTCCTCTGGATAATTTCATTCTCCACTTTTATTTTATCGGCCATAATCTTCAGGAGAAGGGCTGTTTTTCCACCAACTGAGATCCCTCTGGCATTCTAAGCAACAACTTTCCAACAGTTTCAAGATAGGGCAGCCTTGAGAGAGGCTCAGAGAGAGGCTACAGCCATGAAAATGCCAGCATGCTCTCAGTAGCAATTGCAGAGATCTCTACTTTGTAGAGAACTCCTCCACACAGCACAGTCATAGCCTATTATAGAGAGAGTGTGGAGGCTGGGTAGAACCTATGATGTAACAGGCATGGCATACTGTTAAGCAAGAGCCAAGCGCCCACATTGCAACAAACAGAGCAGAGGATATTTTCACACGCTGCAGCTCAAAATCTAGCTAAACACCACTCACCTCTGCCTGCAAGCCACTGGTTGCATAAGATAGGAAGCCCAGGTCCAGACTAGCTGAAGAATTCAAAGAGCCTTGGGATTCACGCCAGGGGGTTGGTCCCTCACCACCATTTCTCTCCTCTAGGACAGATAGTTAGCAAGGAGTTAGGACTTTGGAGAATACTCGGCCAATTATTAATCATTCCTGTTCTGTCACCTCCTTCAACAGTATCCCTACTTTCAGCTTTGGACTCACCTCCCCAGGGACGGTCCCTCCGGTCTCCTTTCCGAAAGGATCTCCGAGGACTCCTCCCAGCCAGGTTACCAGCTACCTCCACTCCTAACGGTAGCGATTTCCCTGCCTTTAGTTTTGTTTTCTAAGAGAAAACCAGAGAGTGTAAGAGCTCTAGATCTATTGCACTTGCATTCCCAAATCCCTCCAAATCACACCATCTTCTAGGCTGAAAGTAAAAGCTTCCCACCTTGCTATGTTCGGTGGGTGGGCTGCCAGACTGAGAGCTGGATCTCAGTTCTGGCAAGGGCTGCCCTTGGCTGTCCGCCTTTGCACATGCTTGGTACAATGCAGACTTGACAAAACGTGCGTAGCTGTCAAATTTCATCAGGTTGAAAATCTGAAAGAAGCGAAGTTGAGTATCATTAGTGTCTCTAAAGCAGAACCCCGTTGGCACTTAGGTGACTTCATCCATTATGTTCTGAATAAGAAGTAGACGTAATTACTAACTGGGGAGCAAATTCATAGCTGCTATACTACTCATACCTATTATTTATTTATATCCCACTTTTATTATTTTTTTATAAACATGTCTCTTATATTGGCTATCGGCTAGCAGATGTGGACTGTTCTCACCTGCAGTTGCTGGACATGAAACATGTCAGGAGTGGGGGTGGACAACACCTCCTCACCAATCCAGGCCTGTTTGTCAATGTTCACTGGGTTTATTGAATGACTTGACAGAAACTCATCATAGATCTTCCTAGCTTCCTGAGCCAGCTGTAAAGAAAGTACATGGAGGGAGAATCACAATACCACAATAGCAAAGAACAGAAATATCCAGGCCAGCTGCAGTAATCAACATTGCTTGTATTTTCTCCCTAAGTACATGATATATAGAGAGAACCATCTGGGTGCTCTATTCATCTCACAGGTTAGTGTGCTTTCAATGGTTCTAAACAAAAAAAATAAAGAAATATGAATGCTACTCGTTTGGGTGAAAAATTCAACAAGAGTTCTTTCCTTTCTTGCCTCCATACATCATCCCCCCATGCTTTAGAAAAAAAAGCAAAATTTGCACCAGTATGGATACGTCAATAAATTTGAAAAGGGGGGGATAATAATATATCTAAATCCAAGACCAGTTAAGTAGGATTTCCAATCACAAATGGGAGAAAATTAATACTCTTTACTGCATCCCCCCAATGAAAAGGAGAAGAAAAAAATGTGGATAAAACAAACAGGGTTCAATAATGAATATATCTTACAGAATTAATTTTTTTTTTCCTGGGTAAAGAATATGACTTCCTTAAATAACATATTAAATAATCATCACTCTTGTCTTGTCTTCCTCCTTCTCATTATGCTTGCTGTTTATACAAAATTCTGTTCTATACAGCTTGAGGCCATGGGGCATTATATTATTCCTTGACACATTGCTGTCTCTTATGAAATCAGAGAATTATAAATCATACACCGAATTTGGTTTTATGAGGATCAAAGTCTTAATTTTATAAATTATATTCCAAATCTCATAATAAGATAAAGGTTGAATATTCTATAGAATTCGAATTAGGATCAAACGTATCTCATACACTTATTCAAATTACATATATTGTCTTAGCACAGAACAAGTCCACTTATAATGCAAAATTTGGTCTTCTTATAGAAGAAGAATTCTTACCTTTTGGGTGCTGTTAGCTGGTATCTGCTGAAATTGTTCACATGCTTGCCAGAAATATACATTCTCAGCACTAAATTCCTTTTTCAGAAACTCCTGGAAAGAAAAGGATAATTTTCTATCTATTGCAACATTATCATAATCCAGAACTCTAGAACAGCCAGGGGGGAAATCAAAGAATTCAGGCGAAACATCATTATTATCTTTGCCCAAAGTGCAAGATCACTATATACGTTGTATTGGGTAGCAAAATAGCCATCAGTAAACAGCTCTACTCTCTAGCACAGTGGTTCTCAACCTGTGGGTCGGGACCTCATTTGGGGCCGATCGACCATTTCACGGGGGTCGCCAAGCAAGGCTGTCCGCCATTTTTTTTGTCCACCATTTTTTTTGTCCGCCATTTTTTCCCCTTTTCCGGCGGGTGCCTTACCTCCCTTGGGCTGGGCCAGCTGGTGGTCGGCCTGCTCGGTCTCTGCCACTTGCCAGCTACGCCTCGGCCGGCGCAGGGGGCGGAACCACGCATGCGCGGCGCTCCCAGGCAGGGAAAGTCCTCGACTTACGACTGGTTGGGTAGTCCTCGACTTACGACCGGTTTAGTCCTCGACTTACAACCGGTTTAGTCCTTGACTTACGACCGGTTTAGTCCTCGACTTACGACTAGTTGGGGTCGCGGCATTAAAAAGGTTGAGAACCACTGCTCTAGCAAAACAGCACAGTAGAGAGAAGACCCGTTTCAAGGTTAAAAGGACTGGAGAGGAGAGATATGGCCCCACACAATTTCAGATGGCTATAAATCATATAACTCTAAACAGCTCCAAATACACACCATCTTAAAAGGGAAATAAAAATAAACAATAGTAAAAAGGGAAGAAGGTGCAGTGAAAAAAATCAAAGGAAACGGAAAGGTGACATGGAACTCACAGTGAAGTATGCAACACCAAGCTGGTCCTGTAGCAGCGTCTCAAAGGACTCAGCCCAGCGGGCCACGGAATGCCCCACGGAGGGAGTGACACTCTGAGTGCACGGCAGACTGTTGACACTGTTATTACTACCCCGGCTGCCAGAGCTGTTTAACTCTGTGAAGCAGAGAAAGGTTTCAAGTCTTTCAGAGGCCTCCTATCTGGAATGGTGCTATGAATCTGAGCCTGCCTAAACTGGCAATTATTGAAGTACCGGGCTAAGCCAAAACAGTTTTCTGTCTCAAATGACCAACAAGATGGCGCCGGCTATTTCATGTACAAAGCCTACCAGATTACTAGCTGGCTCTTAATTCAATATTGGTTATGGGATAGTGACCCTGAGTGGGATCTTTGTACACGAGCAATTTCTCTTGCTAGACATGCTGCAGGCCCATAGTTAATTTCCCATTGTTGGAAATCAGAGATTTTAAGCAGAATCTCTGAGAGGCAAAATGCCTTGTTTCCCCATCTACCAGGGATCTGCTCAAAATCACCAGTTCCTTCTGCTAATACCAGCAAGGAATCAGCATCTTGAAGGAACCCCAGGGAAAAAGGGAAAAATGACAAAGTACTCCATTTCTCCCAGAAACTGTTTGAAGATAGCTGATTTTCTACAGGTAAACCAGTGATTTTGAACAGAACAATAGAGAGAAGGGAAACCTTATTTCTGTCCCTCCCGGTGACACTGTGCAAAGATCTGGTTTATTCTTATCATTGGTGATTTGTTCATTCTCATCAGCTCATTAGTGAAGAACAAATTTCTAGCTTCCTATTACTAATAGTAGTATAAAACCGAGGATCTATTCCCCAGTCAAGGATCCTAGTTTGGCCAAACATTTGTTTTAGCATCTAATCCCTGAAAGTTGTTTTATGTAGTTCAAAGGGCCAACATTCAACTATAATGAGGGAGTATAACTGGCAATTCCCTGTTACTGGGTTTATCTACCTCAATATCAAACCTATCTCCAAGTAACCAGCAAAATCCTGTGGCCATTATTACACACTGTCTCCATAAGTCGAATAGCATTATAAATAGAAATAGAATCATTGGGCTGGAAGGGACCTGAGAGGTCTTCTAGTCCAACATCCTGCTCAAGGCAGGAGACCTTACCAGGAGTAGGCAACCTTGGCTTTTTTATGACTCGTGGACTTCAACTCCCAGAATTCCTGAGCCAGCCAGGCTGGCTCAGGAATTCTGGGAGTTGAAGTCCACGAGTCATAAAAGAGCCAAGGTTGCCTACCCCTGCCTTATACCATCCCAGACAAATGATTATCCAATCTTTTCTTGAAAATCTCCAGTGATGGAACACCTACGACTTCTAGAGGCAAGTTTTTCCACTGATTAATTATTCTCCCTGTCAGGAAATTTCTCCTTAATTCTAGATACTCGATGTTACTCCCTTAGAATTATCCAGTCACATATCCCACGTACCTCCATCAGATACCGCCAGGCCCTGCAAAAGAAGGATGAGAGCAGTCAGAGTACTTTGTCAGTGAGAGAGAAATTAACTCAAAAGATTATGATATTTACACCCAGGCTTTCTGCTTAAATAAGCATGCCAACAAAATAAGATACATTTAAATTACAACAAAAAACAATATAATTAAAAATCAAAATCAAAATCAAGACAATTAAAATCAATTTAAAACTTGAAATTTCCCAAAATACTAAACCAGTAGAGGTCAAATTATCCTCCTCCCTCAGAGACAACTTTCAAAGGAGAAGACCCGTTTCTGCCTACCAGATAGTCAAAGTATCCCACAGAAAGATACTTCAAAAAGGCCATTCCTGCTGATTTAAGTTTTTGGACAGGATCATAGCAAGAGATGTGGCCCATCACTAATTCAGATCCCAGGTAATCAAATTACCTAAGACTGAAAATAAACATCTTAAACTTGCCCAGAAGTCATCGGCACCTGTAAGTATTATGTCATCATCATATCCTGCACTTCTTATTTTATTAATTTATTATTTATTGTATTCCATTTATGTGATTGCCTATTTGCCAAACAATTCTAAGTAGCTAATGTAAAAATCCAGAAAACGGGAAAAAAAAATAACACATATAAAGGCCTATAGTGCTGGGGTCAATATCAATCTCACACATATTAGCATATTCTGCTGCCTTTCATAGTATCCTGGCCCAATTCCTGAAGGAACTCAATTAACAGTCTAGATGCCACATTTTGTACCAACGGTGGTATCCAAAATGCATAGTTTCTTTTCCAGTATCAGATATCTTACATATTAGTTACCGTAGTTAAATACAGAGACTTTGGAAAAAGTTCAGAGAAGAGCAACTAAGAAGATCAAAGGCCTGGAGATTAAAACATATGAAGAACGGCTGTAGGACCTGGGTTTGGTGAGTGTAAAGAAAAGAAGAAACAGGGGTGACATGATAGCAGTATTCCAGTATTTGAGGGGCTGCCACCAAGAAGAGGGGGTCAAATTATTCTCCAAAACACCAGAGGGCAGGAGAAGAAACAATGGATGGAAACTGATCAAGGAGAGAAGCAACCTGGAATTAAGGAGAAACTTCCTAACAGTGAGGACAATTAACCAGTGGGACAGCTTGGCTTCAGACATTGTGGATGCTTCATCACTGAAGGTTTTTAAGAAGAGACTGGACAGTCATTTATCTGAAATGGTATAGGTTCTCCTGCTTGAGCAGGGGGCTGGTCTAGAAGACCTCCAAGGTGACTTCCAGCTATTCTATTCTATTCTATTCTATTCTATTCTATTCTATTCTATTCTATTCTATTCTGATGCAAATATAGGATGACCATCTGTTCTTTCAAAGTACAGTCTTAACTACGCCTCATTCCATCTCCTAGGTACACATTTCTAATATGGAAATCTATGGTTTGAAAAGTCTCCTACAAGCAGTATTTTTTTCTTTTATATTAGAGATGTTTGTTTGAAAGAGAATCCATGGGAATTTGACAGGCTATGGCCAGGATTACAATTTCATAGCTTAATGCAAGAATAAAAAAAACCCCTGTGTGTCGATGGCTGTACTATATTCCTTTGGGAACAAAGTATACGTGTATGAGTGAAGGGAGGCAGCGCTACATTTTTCTTTATGTATTTATTCTAAATGTTCTGCTTTCTTCTCAGCATGTAACTAGCAAAAGAACATATCAGTTTTGACAAAGGCTGAAGGAATTCATTACAGATTACTAAACGGGTGCATTTTCTTGGAGCTGGTGGATTATGAATGACTAACAGATCCTATTAAAGCAAAAATGAAACTCTGATTTAAAGAAATCATAATGAACATCTTTTTTTCCAGTTGCATATATTTCATGGAAGATAGATGACAGCTGAAGAAAAATACCATCAAGAGCTGCCGAATCTATAAAGACTGGGATTTGGGGGGGTTGGGAGGTGGGGAAGATGTTGTAGCAACTAGGAGAGTTCCTTGCACCTAATTAAAATTAAAATATAATTTTAATTTTAAAAACCAATTCAATTGAGGAAGAACAGGTTTTTAACAATTGAGATGAAACTAAAAAGCAGAAAAATGTGTTCTTTTATTCCTCTCAGCTTGAAAAATTGCCATAGAAAGTTTTTCTTTGATGGGAAATGGATAGTAGTTTGATTTTAAATTATCTATTTGAAAGTAAGTTTTATTTCTGATGATGAGTAAGCATTATCCCTATAATTTGCCTCATTGTAAATTATTATGCCAGAAAATTATTTCTAATTATTTCTTAATTGGTTTATTTGTTTACTTGTACCAGGATTACTGAAAGTTTCTTTTCTATTGCTTTTGTTGTGCTTATTTCCTTACAAGAGATTTTTTTTCAAATGTCCTCCATCAGTCATTTCTTTGGAATTATTCCTTTGGTTGTTTTTAAAATATGCATTTCAGAGATAAATTCCTCACTTTTTCACAGCTTTCTCCTTTACACTCTGAGGGTACAAGAGGATCAAATATGCTTGATTAGTTAAGGAAATATAAGAAGGTAGAAGGTGACCACTTCATGCTGGAATTCCTGATTTTAACAACACTAAACCTCAGTATAGTCAAATATGTATCATAGCCTTTTTTTTAAAGGGATTTTAATAGCACCCATGGCCAGAGAACTTAATAGGAAAAGAAGCTAAAAATACTAAAATTAAAGACAGTAGAAAAATCTACGGGGTTTTGTAATGATTTGAAAACAAATAAGGACACATAGAAAAAGAAAAAGGAGAGGAGAGGAGACCGATCAGAAAGAAAAATTTACAAATAGGTAGCTCGGAATTGTAGATCTGATGTCAGGAAAGCCACCTAAGCTGAATTTAGAAAGGATACCAAGGGTTTCTTTGGGGAAGTTCAAAATAAAAAGAACTGGCATACCTGTTTTCTCCTGCAAAAATGTTTGTGGTCAATTAGAGAGGGAATGGGGTCTCCTTTACTGGATGTGTTCAGATGAAACTAGATGACTTTAATTTTTAATGTATTTCTATTGTGGTCAGGGTTTGGAATATGTTAGCTGCCAGCATTGGTATTTTGTCAATATATCTTTTCTTTTTTCATCATTTAAACTTTTTATTAATATAATCAGTGGCGTGTTTAATATATTTCCTTCGGTTATCATTTCTAATCATCACAAAGCTTTTATTATCATTTCCAGCAGGGGTCCCGAACTTGCAGTCCATGGGCCTTATGTGACCTTCCCATCATTTTTTGTGTGCCTGGTGGCAATCTTTTATTTGTAGACACTGATAAGGTTGCCCAGAAAGGCCAAGGTGCTGAGGGCCATAAAGATCCCAGGCTGGGCCATTCCAGGCAAAGGAGTACGGCAGTGCCACATGCCTTCCAGTGACAGGACTCTTGTTCAGTTGGCCCATGCAGTTGGCACTTCTTACACCACCCTCTGGGAAACTCCACCTGCTCTCATGCTCCATGAAAGAGGCTACCTTTAAGGTGGCAGTAGAGGACAGGAAGACCTGGAGGAACATTGTCCATGGGGTCGCGATGGGTCGGACACGATTTCGCAATTAACAACAACAAGGGTCTCTGGGCAAGGGCCATAGGGAGGGGAGGCCTGACCAGAAGAGAAGGGCTGAGAAGGTATGGTTGCCAAAGGGAGAGAAGGAAGAGGCAGCCAAGAAGGAGGGTTGTGTCTGACTGCCCTGCCACAAGGGTCTTTTTGCCAGACAAAGACAATGAACAAAGATCCCTGTGCTTGGGCAAAGGAAGAACAAAGGGCTCTGCCAGACAAGAAAAGGCAAGCTGAAAAAGACTGAGGCAGGAAAAAAAAAATAGCAGGATTGAGGCAGCTCCAGGATGGCTTTCTTAGACTGTGTAATCTGATCTTGAACAAAAGATTATACATCAGCCGAATACTAAAACCAAATACAGGCGTTCTCACTAACAAAAAATACTACTACTTAAGAGATAAAAGGAAACAGTTCTATGGTACAGCTGTTTCTCATGCAGATTTGTTTCATGTTAAAAGTTGTTTTTAATATATTTATTTTTAATAACATACATGATACTACATGTTCATTTTTGACTCACTAGAAATGTTAGCATCAGTGTAGGAAAAGGCTTCTGTCTTGAGCGAAAGAAATAGTCCTGGTGTAGCACTTCTGATGATAGGAGTTTAAAACTCCTGCTTTAAGGTGAACTGTCTAATTTGTTATGCTTCAATCATTCTGGGTATAACATATTGTTTTATTTTATTTTTGTATTTTACAATAACTGCTATTTCAGTCAGGGTTTCTTAAATTTTGTTTTTGATCAATCCTGTTTTACTGGTCGCTGTCTATGTATTCACATGAGCAAACAGTAATAGAAGGAACACAGAATACATATTACGCAGAGGATTACCCAAAACCTAGACTAGAGACATAGGTTTCCCCTACCCCTGACCCATGGTAAAAACATTCTGGTTTGTTTCCAGTGTTGCTGACAGAATTTGCACAAGTTATCACAAGACTCCTAATAGTCAGATTTCTGTTGAGGCATTTCTGGTGACATTAATCATTCTAAAAATTATTAATGAAAGTTGCATAGATGGGACAAGACTAGTATCTAGATTGCAAAGGTTTGAATTACCACTAGATAATAGTGAAGAAATGCAGAAAATACTAACTCTGTGTTGACATCTAGTGGTCTTTTGGATTTTTGCAGCCCAAATAGGCTGCAATAGATAGGCCTAGTGGTTACCTTGTCAGTGCCAAGGAATCCAAACTAGAACACAAACAGTTATACTTCCATTGAAGACCAAAGCTGTCCTTGCTGAAACTGGTCTGAGTCTATCTGAACACCAAATGATCATGGACACACTGTATGAGAGAACTTCTTATTTTGATCTCAGTCCACTAAATCTGTGCACGGGCCATGCCAGAGAGATTTCTGTAGAGATAACACTATGAAAACATTATTGTTCACGCTTCTTCCTATTTAGCCCAGCCGGAGGGAATAACGTACCCTTTCCCAAACAGCAACCTGATTGC